GCCACATTGATAACTATATCGCCTTTCGCTCCCAATGCAGCAGATAACGTCTTCCACAAAAATGTTTTACCAGTACCCCCATACCCATAAACAAAGAACAACCCACCTTTGTTTTTCATCACGTCCTGAATAATGGTCTCAAAAATTTCCCTTTGTTCATCAGTTAGAGTTTTTGACATTTCTTCGCTCTCAAGCTTAAGTGTTGTGCGATCGTAGTTCAATTCTTCAAACAATAAAACATTTTCGACCAGTCTTGAGCCATCCAGGTTTGGTGTTGGCATCGGTGGAGAGTCTATAAGAGACTTGTTGTGTACCATTAGCAATTTTTCCAGCTCCATTAGCCCAAAATTTTGTTTTTCAACTTCTGTTAGAACCAAATCTGTGCATAGTAAACAGGAAAAATATAGTACCTATACACGTGTACATACATATACACAAATTATAAATGAATAAATGAATATATATATATATATATATATATATATATATATATATATATATATATATATTTATGAGAATCATTTTAATACCTGGATTCGTGAGTCGTTTCCTTTGTTGGAATTCAGCGTGTTCAGACAGGTAATGCCAAACCTCATTCCATACATATTCTGGTCTGGATATGGAATTTGACATCAACAATATAATAAATAACTTTCTCATCGCATGACCAGATCACCAGTGACTTGCTTCCTCAAATGCATCAATATACTCCCTATCATCATCTAATAACCCTCGTGCGTAGCATGCATCCCTGAAGGATATGTATTCCACTCCATTAAATGTCATAATATCTTTAAAACTTGCCGGTCCACGCACAATATTTAGAAGACACCTAAGATAGTATATTTCACCACTACCAGGTAGGACAAAGAATATGCGGCCAATGGAAAACCCCTTTTCTCTTGGATGCCACTCACGAACATCTTTTTTCCAAACAAACTTATTGGGCATTTCAATGTATGTTAGCTGACGTGCATCTTCATATTTCTTGTTTGCTTCAAACCATCTATTAAACATACTCTGGCCCACTGTTTCTCGACCCAGTACATTGCCAATGCTGTCGTCATCAGCGAATACAATAGACTGACAATTTGGGAGGTGGAAGCTTAATCTCTCAACGCCAGGAGTTCTGTACTGAACATCAAAACTAAGCAGCCTCCAGGCCGCTTCGCAGGCCAAAACATACCTGCAATCGTAGTACATGTTTATTTCATCCATGATCTCATCACCATTTTCATCTGTAGTACTCTTATAGAATTCAGCTGTTACGCGGTCATTCCCCTTATTAACGTACTTGAATAACTACTTTATTGATCTAGATTGGTTGCCACCATTCCACGTTGATGTGGGCTCTGTATCTTAGAAGTAGGTACCTATTATGAGGTACCACAAACCTGTTGTCTAAATCTATACTGTTCTTCTTAACGGTTTTTCCATCCTCCCGTCGTCTATATACGGGGTACCCTCGTGGTCAAATTGCGATTCATTCGCGAATTTTTTGGGGAAGTGTTTAGAACACTTCCCATTAACCATGCAGGGGGAATTCTTTCTTGCCAATCCACATGGTCCATGAACCATGAATTCCTCAACTGCATTGTAGTAATCTATATCTAATGCTCTGTCTGGGATCTCAGCCTTTATAATTGAATCTATGTATGTCGGACTGGACATATCACCTTTATTCTTTAGGAAGATCAAGATATGTGCATGTGGTAACCCACGCTTTTGAAATTCAATTGTGTAAATAACTGCAATGACATATCAATTATAATTATTTTTTGTATTGATATTAATATATATAAAAAACGTATGGGATAAATTATAATTTGACAATATTGGATCATTACCTGATTTCACTGGGCCAAATAGCTCACCATGTTTGAATTCCTTGATTAAACAATCCAATTTCATATTGAATACACGACAAACAATGTCAGGTCGATCTTCAGCATGTAAGTTTCTCTTTGTAATGTATCATTGTGTTTCCGGCCATTTCGGGTTACATGTGAATGTAACGAATAGGTTTGGATAACCAATATGTCGACAGATGGCCATTGAATCCTGATAATTCTGAATCATGTACCTCGCACCACCTGTAAAGCTTGAGGGTAATAGTATTCTTTTTCCTTGAGTGCTGGCTTCAGTCTCTCCTCTAGTCAAGGCATCTGTCAAACCTCCTAATGCTTCACACCTCAATGATGTTTGGTGAGTCCTTATGTATATCAACCTCGCAGATTCTACCATTGTGTATGCATCCACAATAAATTGTTGAAATAATTGCCTAGCATACAAAATAGTAGATAATTCGTTCAATCTCTAATGGATACGGAATGCGAAAAATTCCCTTTGAGATATACGCTTCCTAGCATTCGTGCTACTTGACGTTCTGGTAGCAAACTGTATATCCTCTCTAAACCCATCTTCACCATACGGAAATAAAATCGGGTATTGCAATGGAATGTATGATGGATTTAGTTCATTTATTCGCTGCAAACCACCAGATTTACACTCAACCAAAATATCTCTATTACCCATAGATGGATCCAAATCACCAACAATTAGTGCTGCGACCTCTGACGATGTTGGCAAGTTATAAGTTCTTGCATCTGTATTTCTTTTACCAATCAATCTCATCTTGATCTCAACCCTTGGATTTCTATCAATTTCTGACCTAGCCATACGAAAAGATTTCACCAATACATTATTTTCATCTAAGACATCTCTAATGTCCTCCACCACTTCAACATGCAAATCTTGTCTAGATGTGTTTTCCCTGTATTAAAAAGTTTATAACCCAAACTAAACAAAACACTTGTAAACGAATCTATACAACTGAACACTAAATTGATCTACACTATACCTGACAGAAGCAATGCGATTTTGAATTTCATTTTGTGTGTCGTGAATGTATAATTGTGCAAACTTCGGTTGACTACCATCAGGTGGTAGCAAGCTACCAATACGATGAAAATTCTATCCATGTATCTTGAAAATGGGAGGAGTTGAACCATTGTTGACACTTTTGTCTATTTTCTCACCCATTGATGTAAAGCAAAACATGCTATTATATGATCGTATGTTTTGTAAGAAACAATTTCGTTTCTCACTTGGCGTAAAAAATAGATCATATAATTTCTTTGGAGGAATTGACATCCTAGGTAGTTTGATTTTCCCATTCCCACAACATCCTGAATACTTAGTGGCATGTGTGGTTTTAGACTTGTTGGTTCTTTCCTCGTACCAATAAAAACAGCTGCAGTGCTCACATGTATCAAGTGGATCTCCAAAATCTATGTACTGGACTGAAGTTTAAAACAGTTTGTTACAATTTTAGATACAATAATTTCATTAGAAATTTAGAAATTATAAAAAAATGTAAACTAACCATCATTAACATTTGTTGTGTTTCTCTGCTGGCCACAGACTTCCCCAATTTCTTCGGTAATATAATTGAACATGCTAAGGGATGGCACGTGATCTTCACTATTGTTTTGTAGATACATCCGCATTGAATTACAAATACCACTATCAACACCTAAGGAAGAAATTTTCGAATTAAATGTGCTACTAATGTAGATTTTTTATTATAAGGTAACATATAATAATAATTATTTTTATTTTTCTTAGAGCTATATATATTATTCATACTTACAATTGAGCATGTTTGATGTAGTTGCTTGAAAGTCACTCACTTTATCGAATTCATCATTTAAATCGCGACACCGTGATATTGAGTTAAATCCATTCACCCAACCATTATTAAAATTTCTTTGTTTAAAATGGTCATCCACATCACAATCTAAAAAATGAAAAAGAATTATAAGTATTATGCAAGCTAAAATAAATATATACGGACAAATCCTTGGACAGTTAACTATATAGTGAATACATAGTCATACTTGAACGTGGGGTACTAGTCAACACTGTATGCAAAACCTCAGTCCCTGTACCTAAATTTGTGGCCTTGAGGGTTGACCTCGGAAGATAACCTGTAACTACGTTAAAAATTTGGCATTACATATTTGTTTACTAATTGTATTCCATCTTAAATACACTACAATACTGCGATTACCATTAGTTGGGAGACTAATTTTTTCAGAAGCCATATTGTTTTCTATGCTTGACCTAGCGCAACTGGCTGCAGGAGTGGAGTAGTTATTCTCAATAATTTCATGCCTTTGACCTGTAAAATGAATATTAATATTGAAAAATTATAAAACCATGACATTGAATATAAAGAAATATTTTAAACGTTAACAAACAAACTTAAATTGTAAGTGTGGTAACGGAACTTACTATTATTGATCTGAGCAAGTGGTGTACGTTGTTCCTCTTGATTATGCCTCCTCCAATATGATGTACGGTTTGGTGACACATTACATGTGTCACCTATTGTTGTATTTATTAATGTGCGTTCTATAAAAAAAAAAAAAAACACACACAATATTAGCACGTAGTATACACTAATAAGAATTTAGTAAATTATTATACAGTTTAATGCCTCACCGGAAGAAATTACACTAAAGGGTGTGGATAGTGATGATTGGAATACACTAAATACATGATTTTTGATGCACTATCGACCAAAATACCCCTTGATGCTGTCTTTTTTATCTTAGAACTTGATAAATTTTGATTTTCTGAAAGTCAATAATATATCAGCAAAAAATAGGACTACACATATAATATACTGATTTTAACATTAATATAAATAAGAAGATAAACATAGACTCTAGTTATGTGTATGAATATATAATCAACAATAACTACAACCATACAACATAAAGAAGTATTATTAAGTGGTCAATACAATTTAGCCGCTGAAAAATTGATGATAAATATATATATTTATTTATTTAACCCTTTCAATATACATATTATAATTTATTTTAATTATACGTTGCTCTGTCTCTCTCTAGAATGTTCTTCTCAGCCTTCATTCTTCGACATCTCACTAAATCTCCAAATCTCATTCATGAAAGCTGCAGTAACACTGATTTTTGCAGCGGATGGTGTCGCCGAATTATTCATCGGAGAAGAGCTCTTTCACAGATGAAGGCAACCGGTTGTCTCTCTGACCATCAATGAGGTAACTGTTTGTTTCAACAAATTTTGTTTTGTTTTTTTCTCTTCAAATTTAGTGTAAGATTTGAACATGCATGGTTATATACTGCAAAAAATTACTTCAAAAACATAAGTATCACGGATCTCCAGCCTCTTGTCTTCCGTTTATCTAAAAACTACAATTTTTGAATCTATGTTTATAAATTATATTTTTCAAATTTTAAGATTTCTCTCGAATTTTGAACCGTTTTTCACTAATCAGTTGTTTCCTAGGATCACCGTTGTTGGTCTAAGCTCCGATCTATGTTTGGCAGGTTAGATTGTTAAATTTGTTTGTTCTAACACTGATTTTGCAGGGGCTAGGGTCACTGGATTATTCATGCCCTCCAACAGATGAAGGAGACCGGTTTATTCTCTGACCATTAATTCCGGTAACTATTTGTTTCTACAAATTGTGGGTTTTTTTTATCATAAATCTTCTACTAATTCAGGTCATATTTAATAATGATATATTTAGTGTAAGATTTGAACATGCATGATTATATATTGCAAAACAACTTTTCCAAAAACATAAGTATCGCGTGTCTCGGGTCTTTTGGTTTACTCTATGAACTTTATTTTTATAATTTGAAGCTCTTTTTTCGAAGTTCAGTGTATGAATATGATTTTTTAAATATCAAGCTTTATGTCAGATTTTGCAAAATTATGTTTACTCTATGAATTTTATTTTTCTTGTTCTCCTACGTATTGAATCCAAGAACAAATTACATAAGTGTTCAACAAATTAAAAAAACGTATTTAAAATGGCATTTCAAGTCATATGCATATTAAGATGTGCTTAAATTTACAATGACAAACAAAGTTAACATAGAATTACATTTCTCATTCTCAGCTTGTCTTAATTTGATTCTATATGTATTCTCCCTAATTTTTAACATCTATAGAACCCTAAACAGTGTTTTGCATGTTTTAAAAATGAATACTTGCTAAGTGTTGTTGAAGCATAAACATGATGAAAAACAGATTACTCTTGAGGTAAATGTAAGATAGTTAAAGCTATCTTCTTCAAACAGATTACTCTTGAGGCACATGGAGGATAGTTAATTTTAATTAGTTCCTAACCATATATTTGCTATCCTGCATTTAAATGTAAATTTTCTATCCAGTCTTTTGTTCTTCATCCTTATTCTCAAAGAGCTTTAATTTTTGAATCTATGTTTATTGTATGAACTTTATTTTTCATATATTAAGCTTTCTGTCAGATTATTATTTCATGTATGTATGTGTGGATAATAACTACCCTTGTTCTTCTATGTATTGAATCCAAAAACACAAATTACTTAAGAGTTCAACAAATTTCAAAAACATATTTGAAATGATATTTCAAGTCAGATGCATATTAAGATGTGCTTAAATTTACAATGACAAACAAAGTGATAATAGAATTACCTTTGTCATCCTCAGTTTGCCTCCTCTTTGATCCTATATGTATTTTCCCAGTGAGTTTCTTCATTCTCTATAATTTGCAGAGAACAATTTTTTTGCTACAACTTGCACTAAAGCAGTGATGGATTACTTTTATAGCTGCATATTGTAATTTAATAGTGCGGTGGCTGTAAAGCAGTGATGGATTCATCTATTAATACAGGCGTGGAAGCAACTATTCGTAGACTTCTATTGGAAACCAACAACGTTTTATCGGAAATGATGAATAGCCGCACTGTAATTTAAAATGTGATTCTCACATTTAATAAATAAGTAGATATGTGTATAGATTTGCTTTGTATGTCTTAATATACGTAATCTTTTCTTGGAAAGGCACACCATTATTTCATTTATTAAATTTGAATTCTTGGTATTCCCAACTGGACATGTCCTTTGTAAGTCTGAATATATGTAAACTCTTCTCAGAAAGGCACACCATTTTTTCGTTTATTAAATTTTGAATTCTTTTTTTTTTTGGATTAAATTTGAATTCTTGGGATTCCCAACCTGCCATAATGCAAAAGATGCACCATCATTCTCGCCCAAAACGCAGCGTTTTGCGTGGGCGGGAACTTTTTTCCCAATTTTTATTACCAAAAATGTTTGGCTTTATTATAGTAGAGAGATTATGTGTTTGAGCGGAAAGTTAGAAAGGAAATTTTTGTTTTTAATAAGTATTATTACTCACTAATTGACTGATTATTATTATTTCTTAATTAGTATTACTGATTATTATAGAAAAGGAAACAAAGTAGGATCACAAATATTTTCAAAAAAAAAAAAAGTAGGATCACAAATTGACTGAAAATAGAAAGGAAAATATTACTGTTTATTATTGCTAAATAAGTATCACTAATTATTATTCCTTTTCTATTTAATGATTATTATTATTATTATTCCTTAATAAGTGCTCTGTATTATTATTCATAATTGACTGATTATTATTATTCCTTAATATGTATTACTAATTATTATAGAAAATGAAACAGAAATTACTTAATTAATAAGAATTATTTATTATTATTCCTTTTGAGTAAATACCAGACAAGGTCCATCGAGTTTGGTGGTTTCACCACCTTTAGTCCATAATTTCCGTAATTACCATCCGTGGTCCTCCGAGTTATGAAATGTGACCTGCTACCGTCCTTCCGTTACTTCATTCCATTTCAACCGTCCAAATTGTGGGTATATTTGTCATTTCACTCATTTGTTTCGATTGTCTCTATTTTGAGCTTGAAAATCTAGGATCCGATTTCCGGCATTGTGACGAGGCCGACGCGGAAGATGCTTCAAAGGGTTGTTGGCGTAGTTATTAGACCGAGCCTTACGGCAAATTCAGCTGCTATGAACGAGTTGGTGGCCCTTGAATCGAATAGTACGACGGCAGGAGTGGCGTACACGAGGAATGTTCCTGTTACCACGTCGCTGTCCCCGACTCGAGCCCTACTCATAGTAAGGATCGTTCCTTGGGTGATTTCCGCCCCCTCTTCTGGGACCTGTGCCGCTGTCTCCCCCTAACCTTGGGGCGGAGTGGCCCTGGCAACTTTCAATCTCTGTGGAGGGATCATGGCGCTTTGAACCAAGATAAAGACTTGAGACTCAACAAAAGACTCGACATTATAGAACAATCATAAAGACTAGCTTGCGTCTTAAGAATACGATACAAAGCATAATGGATAACTAAGCTCACAAGTAGCAAATAGAGACAACAAAGGAATTCAAGACAACCAATTAGGCTCTGATACCAACTGTAACACCCCTAAATTATAAAATATTTAAAGCTTATAAAATAAAGGCGAATCTAATATTAAATCCCAAACATAGCATAAACGAAGCATAATAGTCGGGGTGCTATACCACATCTAGGTTTGAGAACCTAGATGCACAGGCTAAACTAACCAAACAATGCATGAACTATAATTAAAATCCATAATACAATTCAAGGCTCACATGCCATCTAACTAATACTAAGCTAAAACCTCGAGTCCATCTAACGCGCTCCGAAGCTACTGATCTGTACCTAGAAAAACATGCGGTGTAACAACCGTCAGCGAATAATGCTGATAACCCACTCTAACGCGTTAAGTACAATATAGGTAGATATAAGAAAATCATTTTGAAACTAGAATACGTATATAACCTACGAGACTCAAATTTAAATCTAAGATCTAGACTCAAGGCACGATAATAGACTCGACAATACAGAACAATCATAAAGACTAGCATGTATCTTGAAAACACAATACAAGGCATAATAGACAGATAAGCATATAAATAGCAACTAGAGACAACAAAGGAATTCAAGACAATCATTCAACAAGCAATCATCAAATCACACAATCCATCTTCCAACCTTATACCAAGTTCCAACCTTATGGCTCCCCTCCGTCTTTATATCAGTTCCAACCTGTACCTCTAGGCCACCCTTATATCACATCCCTTATCCCTCTGGGTAATTACATGCCCCCACCGACAAATCACCTATCATCCACCAACATATCAAGATAGCGCCGCAGTGCCATTCGCATGATCCGTACCTCTAGTACCAATACCAGGGGGTCAGCGCATATAGCCCCGACATGGCAACGCATCACTTATAACCTGACCCATGCTCAACGGCAAGCTAGTCGAAGGTGGGTTTGTGCGTTTAGCACAGTAACCGCTAGGCCTGTACCTTTAGTACAATGACCGTGCACTCGTTGTGCCAACCGCCAACAATTCATTTCCACCAATCACAATCTCATCATCATCAGTTACACCGATCATTGCGCAATGACCACAATACTCGTCATCATTCAATCAATCAACACATAATCAATCAATAGCAATCACGATATAACAACAACGACATGTACTACGCATAAATTCCTAGAACAGTATTCAAAACATCAAACGAGACTCATATACGTCAAACGGGGTGCAACGGCACACAACGGGACACGGGAGAACATCAAATGGGGAAAAACACCCCACCACACACCCACATTCCAGCGGGTAGGTGGTGGGTGGAAGACCACCCGCCGCCGAGCAGCCATGATTCCAGCGGCATGCCCGCCGGCTACCCGCTGGAGTTGGGCAAGCCGGGCAGCGGGTAGGTGGTGGGCGGTCATCCCCCCTCCCCCCCCACCTACCCTGCACTGGTACATAGGCAACTTTTCGGTCCCGGGATATCTTGTGGAACCTGAAAACCATGTCCAGACACATTCCAACACACAACAACAATACCACAGATTCAATTAACGGGAATTAAACCAATAATCATTCCAAATACGTTCTAACACGATTCCTAAACATGCCAAGACTCCACATCGATCACATAACGGTTCAGGAGCATCCGAAACCACAAGAACATCAAGAAATCTATATGCAAAGTCTTATATACAAATCCTAGGCTAGACTCAACACCTGTTCATGCATAATCCCACCCAAATATACCAAGAACATCACGACAACGAGATTCACGATACAAACCCTATGGACGAGCTCTAGACATCATTAGAATACGAGATCATACATATTATCAATCACAATATCAAGAACATCAAGATTATCAAATAAACACAATATAAATCCTAGGCAAGGCTCTATCAAGACTCAATCACAGATTTACCACATACGATTATCAAAGGAGCCAATGAATAAGATATAGCAAGGAAAATAGGTTTTGTAAGACATGTGTTACCTCTTAGCCCTAATCAGTATCCTTGCCTACTAAGGTTCTTTTCTAAGATTCTTCTCTCAATTGATCTTCCTAGGCTTGTTGGTGGGGGATTTCCTTGGCTGGATTACCTGAGAGTATTTTCGAGTGAGAGAGAGGAGAGGGAAGGTTCCATCTGCTTCTTAATCCTCCATTTATATGTTTAAGGGAAACCTATTCAAGGTCTGAATAATAAGGCCCGTTTTCCTTATTCCCTATGGGCTTAAGGTTCCTAGTTCAGGTAAAGGTTCACAATTCATTGTGGACCTCCTGGATTAATTAAGAGAATTATAATTTGATTAAATCCCATTTAATTGTTTTAATTTACAGAATTAATTTAATAATTAATTCGGAGTTGAAGGTCGTAACATGGGGTGTTACACCTGACCACTAGATGGAGAGCAATGGTAGAAAGGACCGATCGACCACTCGATCTCCGCTGTCCACCAACCCATTCTCCATAGAAATCCAAGAATATCGCACACCAAAATACATTGAATGCCCAACGATGTCCACGTTCAATGCGGCGGGCAACACTGAAGACCACTTGTTCGGCTTTCGAACAGGGATGAGGATGATAGGAGCGGAAGATCCTATGTATTGCCCCACCTTCTTCTCAACACTAAGTGGGGCAGCGCAACAATGGTTCGTGTCATTACCACCCCAACCTATCAATTCTTTCGAGACCTTGCCAAAACAGTTTTTAACGCACTTCGCTGGAAACATAAGAGGCAAAAAATACTCCATGGCCTTAACTTCTGTACAACAAGAAGAGTCAGGGACATTGGGTAAATTTCTAAAGCGATGACAAGAACAAATGCAGATAGTAGAGGACTTGGACCATCGAACAGCCCTAACATTGTTCATGGAAGCATTAAGGTCTGGGGATCTACTCACAAATCTGCGGAGAAAAAACCCCGATATCTAAGCTCAAGCCGTCCAGTGGGCCCATAAATACTCAGATGCAGAGGAAGCCTTGCGAGAGAAAATGAAGAGGAAAGAAGAATGGCCCTGCGAAGATATAATAACACATTTGGGTGATCGACCGTCAGAAAAAGAAAAACAAACCAAGTCTCGAACAAATTCATCTCTACATCTTCTCAGGTCATTCCTCTGCTTTTCGAGGGTACAATGTTGGTACTGTAGAGGAAGGGATGTTTTATATACACAAAGTATACATGCGAGGACCACAAGTTACTTCGCAGATGCTATGTACGTTATTGCAGTCCTATATATTTCTTTTTGCAGTCCTAGGTATCTCACCCGTAAGGCACACAGAAGCACACATAACCCTCTAATTTTCCTATCTCTCTCTCTCTATATATACATACATACATACATACATACATACATACATACATACATATATACATACATACATACATACATACATACATACATACATATATATATATATATATATATATATATATATATATATATATATATATATATTGTTGAGATTAACAAAAACAAGAAACAAAAATAATGGCAGTAAAGGGTAAAGAAGACAAGATTTACGTGGTTCGGCAATATGCCTACGTCCAC